GAGGGAACACAGACCAGGAGTGATAATTGGAACAACATCTAGAGGCACAAGCTGGAGGCGCAGAACAGGCCACTAATGATAATAGAAATGAGAATGAGAGGCATGAAGGAAGTAATCTGGCTGGCAGAGAAAGAGGAGGAGCAGATCACAAAGTGTAGCAAAGTAATGGCAGACTCAAAAAAATTGAGACCAAGGGTGATGCCATTTCAAAGGGTGGGAGTGTGGTGGCATATGGCTGCATACTTTGGGGTTGTTCAAGGTAGGTACGAATGATGCTGGGGTCCGGTGGCTGCATCAAGGAAAGCAGGGCCAAGCAGTTCGGAGCAGGCTGAGGAGACTTATGGTGTGTAGGCGGTTGCACCCTTCAACAACTAGGGGTAGAGTGGGGCAGCAACTACCAGAGCCGTGAAGATTTGGAGGACAGAGGCAGCAACTGCTGCATCAAGGCTGGCAGAGGCAAGCAGAATGGAGCAGGCTGAGGAAACTTCTGGAATGTAGGGGGAAGCACCCTTCAATAACTGAGGTTACAGAGAGGCAGCAACTACGAGAGGGGTAAAGATTGTCAGGACAGGGGCAGCAGCTGCTGCATCACGGACCCCGGGCTGAGGAGACTTACGGTGTATAGGGGGGAGGACCCTTCAACAACTGGGGCCAAACAGAGGCACCATCTACAAGAGAAGGGTTGAAGATTGTCAAGAGAGAGGCCGCAACAACCACAGGGGTGAAGATTGCGAGGGCAGGGGCAGCAGCTGCTGCATCACGGACCGCGGGCTGAGACTCACGATGTGTACAGGGAATCACCCTTCAACAACTGGGGTCAGACAGAGGCAGCAACTACCAGAGCGGTGAAGATTGTGAGGACGGGCAGCAACTGCTGCATCACGGACCACGGGCTGAGGAGACTTATGGTCTGTAGGGGGAAGCACCCTTCAACAACGGGGACCAGACAGAGGCAGCAACTACAAGAGGAGGGGTGAAGATTGTGAGGAGAGGAGCAGCAGCTGCTGCATCACGTACCCCGGGCTGAGGAGACTTATGGTGTGTAGGGGGAAGCACCCTTCAACAACTGGGACAGACAGAGGCAGTAACTACCAGAGGAGGGGTGAAGATTGGCAGGAGAGGGGCAGCAACTACAAGAGGAGGGGTGAGGATTGGCAGGAGAGAGGCAGCAACTACCAAAAGGATGAAGATTTTGACAAGTGAACAAGGTGACATCGGCGATGGGTGGCATGATGACAAGCTTATTGACCTCATATCGGAAAAAGATAAACACCAAGGAAAGATACGTACACGTTCGGACCCCATTTCTCCTTGGCGACTTCCGCTCTCGCCTCCGACGCATGCCCTGTGCATTTCATATAGGTCCCAAAGGTCTCCTTTGAGGGGTAACCCACTTTTTCAAACACCCCTTCCTCAGGAGAATAGACAAACGTCTGTTTCCGAAAGTCAAACCGCACCTCCTCATCCGTTGCTCCTAGCTGTGAGCTCAAGAACAGGTTTCCAGCGCCTCCAGCCTTCTTGTCTTGTACTTGCTAAGGATCACAGCACCACATACCACACCACACCGATGCAGAGAAATCAAAGGAAAGTGAGAGTACGTGTACAGCAGGGCAAACCAAAGCACAGCAGCACTCAGACCAGCACACAAAAGCAAAGCGAAAAAGACAGCAGGACGAAATACAGCGAGGCACGGAAACACAAAGAAAGTAATTTGTTGCAGTCTATGCACATACATGGATGGGACCAAACAACACTATATAATCGGTATTGCCGGCAGTAGCGCTTGGTGTCATGCAATTGGAGAAAGTGGAGAAGAGCATAATCCAGCAGCCATTCACACAAGACCGATACACAAAAGAAATCCATTCACACAAGACAAGACCGATACACACAAAAGAAAGCCATTCACACAAGACCGATACACACAAAAGAAAGCCATTCACACAAGACTGATACACACAAAAGAAAGCCATTCACACAAGACCGATACACACAAAAGAAGCCATTCACACAAGATCAATACACACAAAAGAAAGCCAGTCACACAAGAGAAAAGGGCAAAGCCAAAAACACACAAAGGAAACACACAGCTAACCGTAAGAAAAGACGAGCAGTGGCCAATAGAGAGCACCTCCTCCCTATGCTTTTCATGGGGAAATCATCTAGACTACAGACAGAGATAGTAGTAATCTCTGGTCCATGATCATCTTCATCATCTTCAAGTTAAATAAAAAAATAAAAAGGACTGACATCTGTACCCCTTAGATCCCAACTTCCTTCTCTTCTTCATCATAACCTGGAACCCCACAACTTTATGCAGACAAGCCAACTCTGCAAGCCTTTGGTAGTTAAAACAATATAGATCTCATCAATACGGCTCCTCGTTGATTACAAGTGGACACAATCATTTACAAGCACGCTAAATGCCACCCACGAATGCACGACACAACTACAATGCGGGCACCATATGTGAGGCACATGCCCAGCTATCGCCTCTCTCTCTCTCTCTCTCTCTCTCTCTCTCTCTCTCTCTCTCTCTCTCTCTCTCTCTCTCTCTCTCTCTCTCTCTCTAGCGTGCTCTAGAGAGAGAGCACGCTAGAGAGAGAGAGAGAGAGAGAGGCGATAGCTGGGCATGTGCCTCACACATGGTGCCTGCATTGTAGTTGTGTCGTGCATTCGTGGGTGGTATTTAGCGTGCTTGTAAATGATTGTGTCCACTTGTAATCAACGAGGAGCCGCATTGATGAGATCTATATTGTTCCAACTACCAAAGGCTTGCAGAGTTGGCTTGTCTGCATAAAGTTGTAGGGTTCCAGGTTATGATGAAGAAGAGAAGGAAGTTGGGATCTCTCTCTCTCTCTCTCTCTCTCTCTCTCTCTCTCTCTCTCTCTCTCTCTCTCTCTCTCTCTCTCTCTCTCTCTCTCTCTCTCGTGTGTGCTCTTAGGGCTCATATAATGAAATTGAATACATCGCAGACACGCGCCTCTTCCCATTAGGGATGGAAGAGCCTCGACCACTACTCTCATAGAGACAACTTCCCTGTACGACAAGAATGAAGATTGAGCGCTGAGCATTGGTTGCTTCCCCACAAGGGAAGGATTAACTCAGCCCCATTGACACTCGACTTCTACCCTACCATACCTAATCACCAATGATCAGCCCCTATAAAGCAACTTGAAGATTTCGGGGGGGATATAGCAGGGCAAAGAAATCGAGCACATTGGAGGTCCCAATCAAAACCCTAAGTGAATATGACGAACAGTAAATGATCTCAAAGCACATCAAGAGGGGAATAATTTAGCAATCAAGGGAAATCAATGCACATGAGGGGGAGGGGGAGAGAGAATCAACCACGGAGAACACAAACACCGCCTCCCAACCCCCTTGCTACAACCTCTCTTCCTCCCCCCGGGTCCCAGGAGAACAACTCATCACTACACCACCCCTCACCTCGTCGCCAAGTCAGCATCTTTCCATACACAACAAAGCTTTCGAGCAGCAACCCTCGACTACCCTTTGACCCTAGCAGGCCTCCCTCCGGCCCCAACAGAGTGCCTCACAAAGAGAAGATTGGAAGAGACTAAATAACACTCACCATAGTGGCTGTCGTATTGGTGGCATGTTGATCGTATCAATTGATGTGAACAAGATAGTTGTTGTTGTTGTTGGAAGTTGTAGTTCATATGTCATCGTTAGGAGCACCGTTGTTGTCGTTGGAATGATCGTTGATGTTGAAGATGTCGTGGTCATGAGGGTTGTTGATATAGATGAAGAAATTATCCTTGTTGTTGATGTTGTATTTGTTGTATTTGTTGTCGATGCCTTCGTCATATCCACTGTCGGCATTGATGAAACTGTTGTGTGTCCTGTTGATGAATCAGTTGTCAGTAAACCGGTGGTCGTGCTGGCCATGTTGTCAACGCTCGTTCATTAGCCTCCCTAGTCGGTCGCATTGCCAACTCAACAGACAATTTATCCCCTTTTTCATAGAGCTCATAGCATTGATGCATAAACTCGTCCACCGTCTGTCAGTCAAGGAGATGTTCCCAATGTGGATCAGCCCCCTTCTCTAACTCCCAAAGTACATACATCATTCATTGTAGTATGCCCTCTCTCCATGTGGTCATTGAGATCGCCCCTCGATCGACCCCTAACCAATCTTGAGATGTAGAAGATAGAAGAAACACCATCTCCTGCAAATGGCGCCGACCACCCTGCAGAACCAAAAGCCAAGTGTCTACAGCACGTTGTAGATCCCCGTGTAAACCCATCTCCATCTCCAGTCGCCTTTGGCTTGTTTGTTCACCTTTGTTATCTTCACTCCCGTTTGTAGCGCAAGGACGTCCTTTGTTCTTTGACGGCTCGACACAATGCATCGGGCGTATCGCCACCCACTCCTTTCACTCTATCCCCACCCTTTGCGTCGTATCTCACTGCCACTGTCGCCCAGTCCCTCATGTTTTCAACCTCTATAGGCGACGGCTTCCACCTCTCTCCCCCGCCTTGTTGACCAACCTTTCTCCACGGCGATGACGTCAACGTCGTCCTTCTGCCTCAGTACCTCGTAGGTCTTGGATACCTTGACTAAGGGTCAGATCCCACTAGCCCCTATGTTCATTTCTGACCGTTGATCTTCGTAATTGAGGGTCAAAAATGAATAATCCAGGGTAATGGGATCTGACCCTCAGTACCACCCAGGTTTTGGGTACCTTGACCGTCGGGACCGGGACCGTCGGGACCGGGACCGTCGGGCCCGCCGGCCGGTAAGCTCCCCACGTGCTCGCGCTCTATATCCAAAAAAAATCAACGGGCACACGATGGTACATTTAGACCTTTGGCAAATTTGTGTGACCGGTCCTCTACCTCTTTTGGGGGGTATTTGGGATTATAGATCCCAGTGTGAGTACGTCTTTTTTTTTTTTTTTTTTTTGATTTCAAAGGTCCAGGATGTTGTAGAGGCTAATTACCAGGCACACAGGGATCACCGACAGCGATGAGCCTTCGCAGTCCTAAGATACGCGGTCACCTCCCACCCTACCACTCATCGATACTCCCAGCGTACCCCCTAACCCAACTATCTTACCTCAGTGTAACCCACTCACGACGATCACCCAACCGCTAGGTGGGTGACTTGGACCAGACAATAGTAATAGGCACCAAGGCTAGCTATTACTGCAGCCCCAGTGGAAGCGAAATCGGACAGGCCTCGCTGTACGGGAACTTCGGACGCTAGGCACCACTATATATATTGTCTACCGTGTGGGCATGGGGAACGCAACCCTAAGGTAGCCAAAGCAATGGGACTAAGCGAGGTCGCGCGCATGTGAGATAGAGAGGTAGAGAGCTGTCTCTTATACACATCTAGATGTGTATAAGAGACAGCACACACACACACACACACACACACACACACATGCATATGCACATAGTCTCACTACTTCCATCTGCAGGCCCAAAGAGCAGGGATTTGTTTCGTGCTTACAATGCACAGCGCACAAGGGCCAAACGTTCCGAGGAATTCAGCACGATACAAGAGCGCTGCAGGCCCAAGACAATGTTGCAGGACTATGAAGAAGGATTCCCAACGGTTCAAGTAACTTCAGTAGAGCTAAGGATAAAGGATTACTCACCGCAAGCTTTCTGTGGAGCAGGGGTACAACTTCCTTTGAGCCTGAATACTTTTCAGGTACAACCTTACAAAACTCTGCCGTCTTCAAATCCTTTGCCTGCCAACAAAACCAACTGTATATTGTCACAAAGTGATGAGCACTCAAGAGAGCACATATGCAGGAAAAGTCCGCAAAGTGATGAACACAAAATGAAGTCCACAAAAGGGAGACAGCCCAGCAAGAGCCATCCAAGCTATGGAGGCTATTGCTCTCCTCTTGAGGGGGGGTGTCTGTCGACAACAACACTGTGAGAGACCTCAAAGACGACAAGACTGATTGCCCGTCCTAAGTCCCATAGGGCGGAACGAGGGCGCACACAAGTGCAACTCCACACAGCTGCCCATTAGATACAGTAAGTCACTAACAAAGCAGGACTTGTCCCTGCATATAGACTGAATGTTGCCCCAAATGCAGCTTCAATAACCTTACGATCTTGTTGATAATATAGAGAGAACTTATGTAGACCAATCCTGCGCAGACTGTCCTGCCACCCATCTACCCTCCCCCGGATAGAACGTACGGTTATTAAAGCTGTATCTGGGGCAACTTTCAGTCGAGATACCATACGTTTTCTATTGGGGGGAAGACCGGGTAGGGATTCTCCTCCCTTCTCTATACCCAGGATCTGCAAAACGCCGACAGCACAGCGATGGTTTCCACCACCCTTTCCATCGGAGCTTAGGAGTTTTTGACGATGGCGGAGACTTTGAAGATTATAACTTGGCGGCTTAGATTTCCAGAGGGCAAAGAATAGAATTTTCAAGCCCTCGACTTCAACGCCCCTTCCATCGTAAGCCCTCGATTTCAGTGCCCTTTCCATCGTAAGCCCTCGATTTCAGCGCCCTTTCCATCGTAAGCCCTCGATTTCACTACCCTTTCCATCAAAAAGCCGTCAACATCACTGCCCTTTCCATCAAAGCCCTCTATTTCACCGCCCCTTCCATCGTAAGCCCTCGATTTCACCGCCCTTTCCACCCTAAGCCCTCGATTTCACTACCCTTTGCCCTCGACATCAACGCCCTTTCCATCGTCAGCCCTCGGTTTCACCGCCCTTTCCATCAAAGCCCTTGATTTCACCGCCCTTTCCACTGTGCGCCCTCGATTTTGAATATTATGTAAATTGGCGGCTTAGATTTCCGCAGGGCAAAGAACAAAATTTTGAAGCCCTCGATTTCACCTCCCTTTCCATCAAAGCCTCAAACCCCTCGATTTCAACGCCTTCCCATCAAAGCTCTCTCTTATGAAGCTTATTAATTGGCGGCTTAAATTTCCAAAGGGGGAAATAAGAAGACAAAGAAGAAGATCTCAAATTAATTGCGTGCTTATATGTCCAAAGGGGGAAAAAAAAGAAGAAGAAGTTTCTCAGGAAAAAAAAAAAAAAGAAGAAGAAGAAGAGGAAGACATGACGATTGAAGAAATTCGGCGAGATCAAGATAATTTGAGATCGTCACTTGAGGATTCAGGGGAAAAAAAAAAATAAAAAAAATCCGTCTCTTGCAGTCAGAAAAAGAATCATGCCTTCAAGCAACGAGAGTAACCCGGGACCACTTGCCCGGCCGGGCAAAAAAAAAGAAAAAAAAGTAAGAATTATTTTTTATTTTATTTTATTTTAAATTTGATAAAGAATTTCGATGTGACCCTGAGGCAAGAGTTGTTCAGTTTATTTTTCTGCATAACAGTGTTTTTTTTTCGGATTTTTTGGATTTTATTATTTTACTTATTTTTGATGGGACCTTCCCTGGTCCTTGCACGGCCGGGCCGGCCGGGAAAACAAAGTCACCCCGGCGGCCCGGCTGGTAGCCTAGCTGCTGATAGTCAAAAAAAAAAAAAAAAAAACGATTGTCCAAAAGAGGTATATCAAGGTGACCTGGGCGGCCCGGTTGGTAGCCTAGCTGATGATAGTCAACAAAAAAAAAAAAAAGAACGATTGTCCGAAAGAGGTATATCGCCATTGCACTCGCTGCCTCTCAATACCGTCGCGGCTTTTGACCCGAATAGAGCGCAGAGTCACTAGTAGCTGAATTTGGGGGACCTTCCAGTCTGGATACAGTGATAATGACCCCTCGGGTGAAGACGGGAGAAAAACTGAGTTTTTATAGAGCAGCACTCCAGCTATGCACCAGGGCGGAGGTCCCACTGGCAAAGAGGATGGGCTTTGAACGCCTGAATCTGGACGTGTTGGTGGAGAGGTGCAGGAAACGGGGATGGAACTGCTTTTCTGCATCTCTCCGCAAAACACATCCAGATTCACGAGCTTAATCCAATCTTCTTTGCTAGTGGGACCTCGCTCCAGCTATCATCAGATCCTTTCTTTCTATTTATAATTCAATTTTTTTATTCTTTTTATTCTTTTCTTTAAATATCTTGAATGAATGTGTGCAAGCTGTCATTCGCTTTCATCTTTCAAATCTTTCGATTTCTTGAGAGGGGGGACCAAGAAAAAATCGCAACCTTTAAAAAAAAATAAAAAAATTGCAACCTTTTCAAAAAAATTAAAAAATCGCAACCTTTCAAAAAAATAAAAAAATCGCAACCTAGGCTACAAGAGTGGCCCGGGGTCACTTGCCCGGCCGGGCAAAAAATAAAAGAAAAAATAAAATTTTAAAAATATACATTTTATTTTACTTTATATTTTAAATTTGGTAAAGAATTTCGATGTGACCCTGAGGCAAAAGTTGTTCAATTTTTTTTTCTGCATAACAATAGTTTTTTTGGGGATTCTTTGGAGGTTTTTTTTTTTTTTTTTTTTGCTGGGACCTTCTCTGGTCCTTGCACGGGCTGGCCACCCGGGACCCGGGCGGCCCGGCTGGTAGCCTAGATCGCAACCTTAAAAAAAAAAAAAAAAAAAAATCGCAACCGTTCGACCGAATCATGAAAATCCATCCCATCCATTTTCAACTCAGGAAGAAAAAAAAAAAAGGACTATTTACATGCTGATTGAGTGGGGAGCCTAGCGGCACCCCCTCTACTACCGGTACGCGGGCCGTTCTGCATAATGATAGGCGACGACCAGAAGGCGGTCGGCGACCGCACAATGATTGATTATTGAACATAGAACGCTACAGTTTTTCAGTTTTTTTATTTTTTCCCGCCACTGTACAGAGCGGGATTATACGACCATATACATCAATAACAGCAACGCCCGGGGAGTAATCCCCCTTAAGCCCAATGGTTGATTAATTCACAGACATCCGAACAGAACGCATGGGTATTATTACTGACTGATCTGGCTATTTATCAATAACTGGCGGCGTATGGGCAAAGCTCCTCTGGTCGCGCAACGATGATTGAATCTAACACCCACCCACACACCAACCCACCCGAATGGAACGAACGGATGGGCTTTTCCGGATGCATATGGCACAATTCTAGGGCCAGATACATCAAATAAGATATGTGCTCAACTACCATGTGATCGACACCACAACCCTCAACTAAAAAATCAAGCCGTCTACACATCCCTTCTCCCGCCCCCCTGCTGCCTTCCTCCACCCTATTTCACTCCATTGCCATACCACCTACTGCTCTTATTTCCCCTCTCTCTCTCTCTCTCTCTCTCTCTCTCTCTCTCTCTCTCTCTCTCTCTCTCTCTCTCTCTCTCTCTCTCTCTTCCACACACACACCCCTATNCCCTCTCTCTCTCTCTCTCTCTCTCTCTCTCTCTCTCTCTCTCTCTTCCACACACACGCTTATTTCCATTCTTTATTTATTTTTTTGTGTAGTCCGATGGCCCACGGATCAGATAGTAAACTGATCAGGCAGGTAAGTTCGATGAAATAGCCTCCAATATGGTCTGATTATTTATACTTCATTATTTTTCTTCTTATTCAAAATTTTGAATTACGATATATTATTATCTATTAGTAATTTTTTATATTATAAATTCTCTATCACACTGCGGCAAAAGTTGTTCTGTTTTTTTTTTTTTTCTGCATAACATGAAATGGACCATTTTGATTCGACGACTTTGTCGCATTTCTCCTGTTTCATCTTTGTCACTTTTATTTTTTTGTTATTTTGTAATTTTTTTTCGGCACATGATTCATTAAAAAATAGTCTTACACTGACAAGTCATTTTGTTCTTAATATTAATACTTATTATCATAACAGCAGGGTCACCTTATTATAACCACATTCCACATTAATTTGATTCATTAGTGGCCTTTCATGATGCTGATCATTTTGTTAATATCATAACACAAGGGTCACCTTATATATATTGTCACATGATATCAGAGCGCCAAAACGAAAAACAGAAACAAGAAAAACTTAATTCATTTTTAATCTTCTTCCTTATAACTCCCCCCGTTCAGAACCTCTTGGGTATCCACTAATGAATCAAATCAATGTGGTAAAGAAGTCGCCCATCTGCCTTCTGCTCTGTTCTGTGTGATTGACATTCACGCTTGTTTGCTGATGAAAGGAAGCGTATGTGTGTTCATGATGTAACAGTCTATTCTGACTTGCCGGTGGAATAGGAACCGGACTGATGCTCCCCAGAATGGAAATGGAGCCAGGGCCATAAGGACCTGTTTGATAATAAAAAAAAAAGAAAAGAAAAGAAAAAAATAAAATTAAAAATTAAAAAGTTCAAATGTCAATAGACAATCGTACCAAGCTGCGTCGTAAACAGAAAAGACTAAAAAGTTCAAATCGACAGCAAAGTCTCTACAGATTTTCTGGAATTTATTTTTTTTTGCTAGGACCTTCTTTGGCCCTTGCACGGCCGGGCCGCCCGGGCAAAGAAAGTGACCCGCGCGGCCCGGCTGGTAGCCTAGTTCACTATTAAGAAATTTGAATAAAATCAAAAAAGTATCACCGCCCATCACCGTCATCACCGCCCATCACCGCCATCGCTGTCACCATCGCCATCGCTGCCCTGCTGCCCTGCTGCTATCGCCAGTATGGCCACGATCGCCACCGTGCTCACCACACCGCCATCGCTGTCATCATCGCCATCACCACCATCGCTGCCCCGCCATCGCCATTATCGCCACCATCGCCACTATCACCACCATGCCCAGTACATCCTGAAGATGCACCGCTATGATAACCCCCATAACTGCAATCGTCGCCATTGCAGCCACATCATCACATCACCGCCATCGCTGTCACCATCGCCATCATCGCCATCGCTGCCCTTCCATCGCCACCATCGTCACCATCGTCACTATCGCCACCACCGCCACCGTGCTCAACAAACCGCCGTCGCTGCATCGCCATCATCGCCATCACCGCCATCGCTCCCCTGCCATCACCATTATCGCCACCATGCCCACTACATCCTCAAGATCACCGCTATGATCACCCCCATAACTACAATCGCAGCCTTAGCAGCCACATCATCACATCACCGCCATCGCTGTCACCATCGTCATCACCGCCATCACCGCCATCGCTGCCCTGCCATCGCCACCATCGTCACCATCGTCACTATCGCCACCACCGTCCTCTCCACACCGCCGTCGCTGTCATCATCGTCATCACCGCCATCGCTGCCCTGCCGTCGCCACCATCGTCACTATCGCCACCACCGTGCTCTCCACACCGCCGTCGCTGTCATCATCGTCATCACCGCCGTCGCTGCCCTGTCATCGCCATTATCGCCACCATCGCCACTATCGCCACCATGCTCACTACATCCATAACTATGATCACCGCTATGATCACCACTATAACTACAATCGTCGCCTTCTCAACCACATCACCGCCATCATCGCCATCGCCGTCATCGCCACCCGTGCACATCACAACCTCCTAATCACTGCCATGACCATCACCACAGCTACAATCGTCGTCTTTACAACAACCATCATCGCCATCACCGCCATCGCCGCCATCGCCACCCATGCCTTTCACAACCTCCTAATCACTGCCTACCCCCCTTTGCAAAACCACATCACCGCGATCACCCCCATCACCATCACCATCCGCCGCTCATCACACATCCAGCATCATGCAGGACTTAATAAAAGAATAAACGAATGAATTAATCAATAAACGAATGAATTCACGCCAATCGTCGTCTATGCATTGTCTATATCCACCATCCTTCCTCCTAATCGAACACCTCTCTCTCTCTCTCTCTCTCTCTCTCTCTCTCTCTCTCTCTCTCTCTCTCTCTCTCTCTCTATCTATCTATCTATCTATCTATCTATCTATCTATCTATCTGTGTATTGCAAAAGCTCCTAACCATCAGCGTCAACCATCGCCACCTTCTCAACCACTGCTGACGTGGTTGGCGTCTCCCATAACACTCGCTCAGGTCGTGGTCACTATGGCCGCCATCGCCATTACAACGACAGCGAGAGAGAACGATGCAAATGGGTGATGGCTGCAGAGTCCTTCGATCAAGAAACATGGAACAAACTCATTAGGTCACACTTTCGTGTTTTGTCTTTCCTCCCCCCCTCCCCCCTCCCCCCGTCGATCGCACTCTTTTTCCTGCTTTCCTTTTCTTTTCCCTTCTTTTTTTCTTTTCCTTTCTCCGTAGATCACACAATCTTGTGTCGTTGGCCGAAACATGGACAATCCGTTTTTTTCAACAGATAGACGACACGAAAGCGATTCTTTCTCTCTCTCTCTCTCTCTCTCTCTCTCTCTCTCTCTCTCTCTCTCTCTCTCTCTCTCTCTCTCTAGCGTCGAACCCATGTACAATTCTAAGTCTATTACTCTTCGTTCTCGCCCTAGCCAACAAGCCCATGGATCGGCACGTCAGCGATTCTCTCTCTCTCTCTCTCTCTCTCTCTCTCTCTCTCTCTCTCTCTCTCTCTCTCTCTCTCTCTCGCTCTCGCTCGCTCGCTCGCTCGCTCGCTGGCTGTGTGTGACTGACTCTCTCTCTCTCTCTTACTGACACACTCTCTCTATGACCGAGAAGGAGCCTATCTCCAGTGGCGCTCCGCCTTAACGCTATAAACCCCCTTGATGTTTTCCCCTTGGGATCCCCCTTGGTGCGCCGCTCTCTCCACCCGTCGATAGCATACCATGGTCTGCGATTATCGATTAATTTACTATTACTGATTAATTCTTAAATGATTATAGG